TTTCGCTTAATTTTTGCGCTCTTTTTACTCTAAGATTACGGTACGAATATAGTACCAATATAGTAACAATACAGTAAAGTTGTCACTAGGGAGGCAAAAGTTATCATAGACTGGTCAAAGTTATCATTAGGCATGTCAAAGTTATCACGAGGCCGGCCAAAGTTATCATGGACTGGTCAAAGTTATCAATAGGCGTGTAGCGATACAGTACCAAATAACATTACAATAACAAAACATGCTCAGGACTGTACGAATCAAAAGACCAGTCGCATTCGCGTGCCATTAACAATATTCGCCAAATCTATACCAGTTGTATGGACCAGCAACGTCTAGCGCAACTCGGTGGCACCGAACTCGTCAAAGCCATCGAGGTATACACTACTCTATACTCAACTCTCTCCAATCATACGTTGCACCGATCTAGGAGTACGGTAGAACTACCGTATCCAACGTGTCCCGCCACGATTTATACTAGCTACCGTAACGCTACCGTATTCTACCGTAACCCAAAGGGTTTTTGCAGCAAATGGGGCACTGGCCAATAGTGCACGGCGAGAAATGGCAAGCCAACGAATTCGATTTGACAAATTTGCTGATCTACACGAGCGTGACCAGGTCCATGGAGATCTTCCTGGATATCTACGTGTCCCAAGATCAGCGTAACGTCTCACGTCGAATGATTCACGTACGTGCACGCAGTGTGATGCACTTAGTATGTCCACCACTTACCAACTACTGTCATGTGACACTTACCACCCACCCATTGGAGCTATCTGTCACGTTACAGTAACCTTTCAACAAAAAAAGATTTTTAGCTGCAAATTTTCAGGTTGATCAAGGAAACCTTGGCCTGGGTGGTAGTGCCCGAGCGTATTATTTGAATATGACCAGATATACGAAACAAATGCGCGCCTATAGACAATATATGATCAATAAGGTTAGTCAATAACAATATATGATTAATATGGATCAATAATGTGATCAATATACGATCACAATAAGGATGATCAATAATATGATCAATAAGGATAGGATAATCAATCATGGCTGAAGTCTATAGACAATACGACCAAAAACAAATCGCTTGAAATCATTAAAAATAGAAATTTTTTCAGATTCTGTTAGTGGCTGAAGATGCAGGTGAGCCTAGAACACGGGAGGAAATCGCCAAAGGAGTCGAGGAAATAATCGATTTGGAGAAGCAAATTGCTGAGGTGAGCTGCAAATACCGAAAGGGTTTTGGGGTGCTCGGAAGACCGGGGGGGGGGGGACTGGGCCTATTTCAGAATCCTTTATGCAGTTTTACAGGGTCAAACTGTTCCTTTTTTATGAAAATTATCACGAATCAGGGCTTAAACCTTGAAAACTCCATCTCTAAGACCTCAAATAACCTCTAAAATAAGAGAAAAATTGCTTGAATTGAAGCGAAACCGTAAATTTTCAATGAAAAAAGTTTCAAATAAAGCCAATTATGTTTAGATCATGATATCCGAAGAGCATCGCAGAAATTACACAAGGCTCTATAACTCTCATAAGCTGTCCGAACTGAATGAGCTCTTTCCTTTGGTTAGTTTTTTTTCTTTCAAATTTTCAAATTCGACCCCAAAATATTTCAAATTTTGCGCTTTTTTTGAGAAAATTTCAGAAAATTTTTCAAAAAAAATCCAATTTCAGGTCGACTGGGACAGATATTTTAGAGCCGTGATGCCTGAGGATCTACACGATTACTTGAACTCCGATCCGGATATAATCGTCAATGAAATGGAGTTCCTGAAGAAACTAACCGACCTACTAAGGGTACGACCTGATTTTCGAGCACTAAAAACTATTTTGACACCAAAAACGGATGGCCCAAATTTTTCCAAAAATAGGAGGGGTACCACAGTTCTATCAAAAAAATTCTGCCGTATTTCAAGATAGCATCTCTCAATTTCAGGCTGCCGATCCACGTATCATAACAAATTACATTGTTTGGCGTTACACATCAGCGTGGAGCTTCCAGCTGGACAGCCGTTATGACGACGTGCAGCAGGTGAGGCTTGAATAAAATTTTTGGACTTGATCAGATAGCATTTTCAGTAGATCACTGACTTTCCGATCAGATCACTTTAACCAGATCAAAACCCTCTCAAAATTCTCTTCAAACCTTCTCAAAATTGATCCTGAAATTAATTTCAGGATTTCCTCCGAATGTTGATCGGTAAAGAGCGCAAATCACCACGATGGAAGGACTGCAGCTCGGCAGCCTCAAGCCGTATGGCCTATGCAGCAAGTGCTCTCTACGTGCGGGAATACTTCAATGAGGTACGTCGCCAACAAGCTTACAATAAATAAAACCACTTAATAAATAGACAAAACAGACGAGACTGCAGAACTGGAATAAACCTTGGAATAAGACAACCGCACACGAGAACGCAATGACTACAAATGAATTGAAACTGCAGACAGAAGAGTATTTATAGTGAATGATTTCAATGGTGATTGATCCAAATTGATCAATATTTTGGCGCGATTTTGCGGCATTAGAGGGAAGACATAGAGAAATTTGCTCTATGCACCTAAAGACTAGATCAAAACGGGCATTCAGAGGCCTTTAAAATCGATCTAAAACATATTTGATCTGCGTGACTGATCAATAATAGAGTTCAATAGGAAAATCACGTCAATTCAGGTCAGTTCAACATTAAAAAAATTAATTTCAGGCTGACAAAAATGCAGCCATGGAAATGATCCGGGATCTGCATGAGGCATTCCGTGAGATGGTCACTCATAACGATTGGATGGATGAACAAACCCGAAAGATCGCCATCGAAAAATCCCGCGCCATGCAAAGTCTCATTGGATATCCGGATTTTGTGCTGAGCGACGAAAAACTTGACGACTTCTATAAATTGGTTTGCTGATCCAAATGCCATTTTGCACAAATTTCGGGCATTATTCCACTCTAAGTTACCAAATTACCCTAAAATTAACCCTAAATTACCAAATTACCCTAAAATTAACCCTGAATTACCCTAAAATTAACCCAAAATTACCAAAATTCGCTCAAAATGATGCCGAATTTCGACTGCTTGCAGTTGAAATTCGAACCAGGAGACACGTATGCAGCAATGGTGCAAAAGACCACTAAATGGAAGCAAGACCGTGCCTTTAGACGTCTCATCGAACCCGTTGATAAGAGTGATTTCGGCATCTCGTCATCGACCGTCAACGCCTTCTATTCATCGCTAAAAAATTCCATCAGTAAGATGGCTTTAATATTTCTCGAAGACATAATAATTATAACGATAATAATAATAATAATAAATAATAATAATAATCACAAAAATAATAATAAATAATAATACTTTCAGCATTCCCAGCCGCCGTTCTGCAGTCACCACTATTTGACCGTAGTTTTCCGAA